CTCTGGCTGACTCAGAGCCTGGGCTGCATTCTAAGGAGTCTGAATAATCTGCTTCTGTGCACAGCCTGATTTGGGGAAGGGGGTGGAGGAGGGGGCAGGCTGGCAGCAGCTCAGCTCCCCCCACTGCACCCCAGAGGAAGAATGGGGGAGCCCAGTCACAGAGCCAGCATCTATGCCCAGGTATGGTCTCTTCCTAAGGGAGCTAGCTGAGCCTCCTGCTCTGTCCCAGCGGTGAGTTTAGGGGTGCGGGTCTTTCCTACCCGCCCTGCCCCCCCCCAGTGATTCAGGCCTGGCAGCAGATCTCATAACAGTGTGCTGTCCAGAGCCCACTCTTCCTGATGCATGAGGAGTGTGGGCAGCGCCATGTGCTGTGGGGGAGCTGTGCATGGGTCCTCCCCATCCTGGGTACCCGTGGCCTTGCCTAAAGGTGGGGAGCGGGTGGGGTCTGGGCAAGGGGAGGCCATGTGTATCCATACATCGGTGCCCACACAAACAACAGTGCCAGAGCTTGTGCGGTGGGGAGGGGGAGCTTTCCCTGGCCTGGTATGATGAGTCAGAGTCTCAGGGGGTCTGTGTTGGACTCTGCATATGCACTTCTGTGGGGTAGGGGTCCCACTTGCAGTCTAGGGCTGGACAGGGTGCTGCAGACATATCCTCACACAGCAACTGTTCTGGGAACTGCTGCCAGGGCTGAGGGAGGTGGCAGCTGCACCCCTCCTACTCTTGGTTGGCAGCTGCCAACTCAAGGACTTGGAAGATATGGGGAAAGAAGAGTTGGGTCCTGAGACACCTCCAGAGTTAGCACTGGCTCCTGCCTCATTCCTTGTGTCGCTGTCCCATTGTTTCCCCAATCCCACCCTACAGGTTCACAAAGGCCGAAGTGATGGTGATGGGTGATGTGACCTACGGGGCTTGCTGCGTAGATGACTTTACTGCTAGGGCCTTGGGAGTCGACTTTCTGGTGCACTATGGTCACAGCTGTCTAGGTATGGTGGGCTGGGACACCAGGATTCTGGCAGGGAGGCAGGTTGCAGGCTAATGTTCCCCTCTGTCATGTGTTTTTGTTCTGCTTGCAAGCCCAGAATCCCTTCTGGTTTTCAGGATGGCCTTGGCCTTTCTATTTTGCCGGTGGCTCTTTCCTCTGGATTTGGCTGCCTTGGAAATCATGAGACTGTCTCAGATGTGCATGTTTGATGTTTCTGTTTGTTTGTTTGAGACAGTCTCACTCTGTAGCCCAGGAAGGCCTGGAACCTAACAGCTGTCCTCCTGTTTTAGTATCCCAGCTGCTAGGATTACAGATGTGAGTTAGCATACCTGGCAAATGCAGGTGTGTGAAAGGCTGTTGGTGGTATAGCAAGCTGGATGCCCAGCTAAGTGATGAGAAAGAGTTCTAAGAGACTGACTCTCCCTTCTCCCTAATTCCCTCCCAAGCTAAAGCTACTATCCTGGCTACTTTTACGATTGGGACTGGGCCAGACTCCCTGCTCCTCCTGCTTTTCATTTATTTATTTAGTTTTATTTTTGGTCTTTTGAGACAGGGTTTCTCTGTGTAGCTTTGGAGCCTGCCCTGGGACTTGCTCTGTAGACCAGGCTGGCCTCAAACTCACAGAGATCCTCCTGCCTCTGGGATTAAAGGCGTGCGCCACCACTGCCTGACCCTTACCCACCCTTCCTTCCTTCCTTCCTTCCTTCCTTCCTTTTTTCTCTTTTCTTTCTTCTTTCCTCTCTCCCCGTTTCTCCTCTTTCTTTTTTTTTTTTTTGAAACAGTGTCTTACTAGGTAGCCCTGGCTGGCCTAGAGTTTATAGAGATACTCTGGACTCTGCCTCCTGAGTGCTCAGATTAAAAGTATGCACCCCTCCTGACTGCCCATTTACATTGTTTTGGGTTGTTTTTTGTTTGTTTTTTTTTTTTTTTGGTTTTTCAAGACAGGGGTTTTTTGTGTAGCTTTAGAACCTATCCTGGCACTCGCTCTGGAGACCAGGCTGGCCTGGAACTTGCCCATTTACATTGTACATGACAGACATATTTTTATTATCTTTTGCTTTGTGAAAATACATTTTCTGGGGCTGGCAAGATGGCTCAGGGGGATTAAAAGGTTTTGCCACCACTGCCTGGCTCCTCCTGCTTTTTAGAACACTTTTTTTGAACTCTTCTCTGTAGTCCCCATGGACACGTCAGTCCAAGACTTCCGTGTATTATATGTCTTTGTGGATATCCGGATAGATACTGCCCACCTTCTGGACTCAGTCCGCCTCACCTTTGCCCCAGGCAGCTCACTCGCTCTGGTCAGCACCATTCAGTTTGTGTCAACTTTGCAGGTAAGTAGGTCAAAGAAGAAAAGGTACTCCAGAGTGCTCCTGGCTCCCGTGCCTGATGCTCTGGGCTCTTCCTCTGGCCCTGGCTTTCTCCCAGCTACTTGTTTCTCTTCCTTCCTCATCAACACAGGCAGCTGCACAGGAGCTGAAAGCTGAATATCATGTCAGTGTCCCACAGTGCAAGCCCCTGTCCCCTGGGGAGATCCTAGGCTGCACATCCCCTCGACTACCCAAGGAAGTGGAAGCTGTTGTGTAAGTGAAAAATGGAGATTAGTTTGTAGAGACATACAAAACACAAGGAAGGAGCCTGAGGCTCCTGATACAGGAAGAGGCAGAGTCTAAAGCTCCTAACCTGTGTGCTCAAGGTCAACTTGCAAGATAGGGCCCAAGTGGGAACTACACTTCAGGTTTCCTTGCTCAATCCTTCATCCAGAAGGCTATGACTAAGGTGGAGACAGAACTCAAAAGGCCTGATGGGGGGATCAGGATGGATAGAAATGGAGGGAATATAATTGGAGAAGATGGATGGGCACGCCCAGGCTGCAGCCCCATTAATTTAGCATCCGGACAGCTAACAAGCAGAAGCAGCGTGTCTCCTGCCGCCTAATTATTTTAGGTAATGGAAATGCTTAATGTTGTGTGAATGCAGCCAGCCTCAGAGCCCACAGCTCCTCTGGCTAGGACTCTGGAGGGGAGTCCTTTTCTAGCTAATGGGAGGGGCACTGTGACTCAGCCCCACCCCTGGGAGCTTTGGGTTCTGCTCCCACAGGTTTTGCTACATCCACATAGGATACTCCTGCCCTTAGGCCCACATATAGGCCTTCCACAGCCCAGACCTGGCAGCCCTGTTCCCCAAGGACCATTCCCCATGTACGTGTGCCAGCAATAATGGATGCCCATCATCCGGGACTTCAAGGTAGTGTTGAGGGAGACGTCCTGAGTGTTGGCTCTGGACTCTCCAAGTCCCAGGAAAGTACTATGAGAGTATATCTCCACTGGTATGTATGTTCAGTGAGGCCAAGTAGTGAAGCCTGGTATCAAATCTCACTTTGAGCAAGTGAGTTTTGTTTTGTTTGTTTGTTTATGTAGCCTTTGCTGTCCTGGAATTCACTGTCTAGCCTCAGATTCATGGAGATGCCCTGCCTTTGCCTCCCAGGTGCTGAAATTAAAGACATGAGCCACTAACCTGGCGGTGGTGGCACATGAGTTTGAGGCCATCCTGGTCTACAGAGCAGATGCCAGGACATCACTGGCTACACAGAGAAACCCTGTTTCAAAAAACAAACAAACAAAAAAGGACATGAGCCACTATACCTGGCTTGAGCAACTATATTAAAGTGTAGGTGTTTTAGTTAGTCCAAGCCTGGAAATCAGAAGATCAGGAAATAGCAGTTGTTACAACTCAGAACTTGGTTCAAGAGTAGCCTCTGTGTACCCTAGAACCTCCTCTATGGCCTATATAATATACATTTTAAAATAAAATAAATAAATTTTATTTATTTATTTTGGATTTCTGAGACAGGGTTTCCCTGTGTAGCCTTGACTGTCTTGGAACTCACTCTGTAGACCAGGCTGGCCTCAAACTCAGAGGTCCACCTGCCCCTACCTCCCTAGTGCTGGGATTAAAGATGTGCGCCACCACCGCCTGGTGGAGCATCACCACCAAGCTTCTTGAATGTTTTACCTTTATGTATGTCTGTTTGCTCTGCATATGCCTGGTCCAAGAGGAGATCAGAAAAGGGCATCAGATCCTTTAGGATAGGAGTTACAGACAGCTGTGAGCCACTGTGTAGGTGCGGGAATCAAACCCAGGTCCTCTGACAGAGCAGCCAGTGCTCTTGACCAGAGAGCGATCTCTGCAGCCCTGACTATAGATAACATCTTAAACACAGCTTCCTAGTCTGTGTTGAGCTTAATAAAAGAGAAACTGCCCTCAGCTTTGAAATTAGGCTTTCCTGAAATTAGGTGCCTTTTGTTGGCCTTGGCCCATCCTTACTTTCCTCCAGAAGACTGCATAACACAGCTAGAGATGTTTCTGAGGCTCCTTACTGTACATATGAGAGGCTCTAAGATGAACTGAGGACTGTCAGCAGCATGGAAGGCTGAAGACTCAGTCGTCTGGACCTGTAAGCCAGGGCACCCCCTGTGCTACCTGCCACTTACCACACTCACACACTCTTCCCACCCTGCAGGTATCTTGGAGATGGCCGCTTCCACCTGGAGTCTGTCATGATTGCCAACCCTAATGTCCCTGCTTACCGGTATGGGCTGGGGAGGGCTGACCATCTGTGGTAGGGTGAGAATCTGCCCTGGAGGCCCTCAGGGGGCTATTCCACATTCTCTGTTCAGAAATGGCAGTCATCCCTAACTGGGGCACATCTGAATTTAGACCCAGGACTGATGTTGCCTACCTGGGAGTCATACCAAGCTCCTAAAACACCCCCTTGCTCTCCCCTGCTCTAGCTGTGGGGCTGATCTCCTCAGTAACAATCCTCATTCCTGTCTGGGGCCAGATTTCTTTCTTGTTTTAGATTTCTTAATTACTCGCTTAGATCCTATGTCAGGAAATCACTTAGGCAGCGTGACTCTGGCTGTCACATGATTCTGGCAACTCTTCCAGGTACGACCCGTATAGCAAAGTCCTATCCAGAGAGCACTACGACCATCAGCGCATGCAGGCCACTCGGCAGGAAGCCATTGCTGCTGCACGCTCAGCCAAGACCTGGGGCCTTATTCTGGGAACTTTGGGCCGCCAGGGTAGTCCCAAGATCCTGGAGGTGAGAGGGCTGACAGGAAAGAGCTGGAGAAATCTGTAGGTCAAAGTATCCAGCTTTGGCTGCTTCATCACAGCCTCCTTCTCCCAACAGCACTTGGAATCTCGGCTCAAAGGCTTGGGGCTTCCCTTCGTGAGACTTCTGCTCTCTGAGATCTTCCCCAGCAAGCTCAGTCTACTTCCCATGGTGGATGTGTGAGTTCCCCCGCCTTGCTTGTAGGGTGACCAGCTAAAGGGACCTTAGAAACCAGGTTCTGCCAAGCAGACTTAAGGCTACAGCCATTGGAACTGCATATGTGATTATGGAATTTTAATATTTATCAAGTACTTTTCTAGCAGGGGCCACCTTTGACCAGGGGCCACCTGCTTTGTTTGAACATCACAGTGTGGTGGGATGAATGCCAGGGTCCTATGCACAAACTTTGGGTCTGGGGGGGTGACTACCCACAAATGAATTACCCCCAGAAAGCTCTGAGGGGACTAGGGAGATAGCTATTGGAATAAGGTCTGGTGACCTGAGTTTGGTTCACTTAAGGTGGAATTTTTGTCTTTTCATTTTTTTTATTTTTTTGGAAATAGGGCTTCTCTGTGTAACAGCCCTGGCTGTCCTGGAACTTGCTTTGTAGACCAGGCTAGCCTTGAACTCGAAGAGATTCACCTGCCTCTCCCTTTTGAGTGCTAGGATTAAAGGCAAGCATCACACTGCCTGACTGAAATTTTTTTTTTTTCTTTTGCATATGTGGAACTCTAGTGGCCACCCTCAGGTGCTGTCCACACACTTTCTCTGTCCCTCCCACTCCCTTTCTTTTTCTGAGCCTGGGTCTCTCACTGACTTGGAGCTTGCTAAGTAGGCTGGTTTCCACTCCACCTGTCTAGGCCTCTCAATGCTGGGAAACACACACTTTCTTTTTTTAATGCAGTGGTTCTGGGAGTTAAGGTTACAAGGCAGGCACATTGAAGTTATCTTCCCAACAGTACAGTACTCGTAACAACAATAGAATCAATATATCCTGTTGACAAATGGTCATGTTCTTCTGTGTGGTACCTCAGAGAGAGGTGGACTCCACGTCGTCTTACTAACTTCCTCTCTTAGGTGGGTGCAGGTGGCATGCCCACGCCTCTCCATTGACTGGGGTTCAGCCTTTCCCAAGCCACTGCTGACACCTTACGAGGTAACGACCACATTTGGAAAACTTACAGGGAAGTGGGCTTTGTATCTCCTGTTGAGGGTTATGAGATGGCTAGCATGGGTGAACATGTTCCGAGAATTGATCTTAATACTTGGTCTATAATGTTGGTAGTAGCCTAGGCTGGCTGCAATTTACGGAGTGCTGGGAGGCAAAGCGCCACCATACCTGAGTTGCTGTGTAAATGCGAGTTTACTCACCTCACATTTCCTTTTGGTAATATATATTATATAACAATAATTATATAATACCCTTCTTAGGCTGTGGTCAAATTTCCTAATGCAGAGACAAAAAAAAAAAAAGAAAAAGAAAAAGGCATTGGTATCATTGTCTTCCCCCCACCCCCAGGCGGCCGTGGCCCTGAAGGACATTTCCTGGCAGCAGCCCTACCCCATGGACTTCTACGCCGGCAACTCCTTAGGGCCATGGACAGTGAATCACGGTCGGGACCCTGGACCCCGGGGTCTCGGCCAGCCGGCGTCGGGCAAGGTAGGCGGGGACTTAACGATGGCAGAGCCAGCGACGTGAGCCACGGCCGCCGCCCTGAGGATACCGGGAGAAATGCAGGGTTGCGGGTGGAGGTCGCATTAGTGAGACCTGGATTTGTTGGCTACCTCAGGTACAGCAGGGTTTCAGAGGCCAGTCTCCAGCCCCGGCCTGTGAGGGTTGTAGCTGCGCAGACCTGAAGGCTGCACTGCCGGCTTCCTGAGACGTCTCGAGTCGCAGGTATCTGCAGCCACACCCCACCTTTTTGTCTTAGGAGCGCTCGCCCTCCCCGAGCCCCGCCTTCTGGGTGTTGCCGGGTTGGACCACGCCCCCCGCAGGTTCCACTTCCGCCCAGGGAAGGCCTACTTCCCGTGGCCCTGCGGTATGGCGGCACGGCAACCCCTGAGAGTGCTGTGCCTGGCGGGTTTCCGGCAGAGCGAGCGGGGCTTCCGTGAGAAGACTGGAGCGCTGAGGAAGGCGCTGCGGGGCCGCGCCGAGCTCGTGTGCCTCAGCGGGCCGCACCCGGTCCCAGAGGCAGCAGCTCCCGAGGGCGCCGGGCCAGACTCCGGTGAGACAAGCCTGCTCCGTCAATCCCTCGCCATCTAGCCGGCCCCCTAACACACCCGGACCTCTCAGTTCTCACCCAGCTCCTTTAACTCAGGCTCCAGCCTGCGCTTCCAGGTTTTCTCCTACCAGGCCTCCCTCTCCTCTCCCTCTCAAGTCTCCTGGCCGCGTCCTTCCCAGGCTTTGCCCCCGCTCTTTCTTCCCTGCTCCCCTCTAACTCCGATCCTGTGCTCTTATCTGCTTCTAGGGCCCGGTGCTCCGGAGGAGCAACCTCGAGGCTGGTGGTTTTCTGAACAGGAAGCAGATGTTTTCTACGCGCTGGAAGAGCCTACAGCATGCAGGGGTTTGGAGAAGGCCCTGGAAACTGTGGCACAGGCCCTGGACACGCTGGGACCTTTTGACGGACTCCTTGGCTTCAGCCAGGGGGCTGCACTAGCAGCTTTTGTGTGTGCCCTGGGTCAGGCAGGCGATCTCCGCTTCCCCGTGCCGCGTTTTCTCATACTTGTGTCGGGGTTCTGGCCCCGAGGCCTTGGCTTTAAGGAATCCATCCTGCAGAGCCCCTTGTCACTGCCTTCGCTTCATGTTTTTGGGGACACTGATCGCATCATCCCTCCTCAGGAGAGTATGCAGTTGGCTAGCCAATTCCTTGGCGCTGTCACCCTCACCCACTCTGGTGGTCACTTCATTCCAGCAGCTGCGACCCAACGCCAAGCCTATCTCAAATTCTTGGACCAGTTTGCAGAGTGAATCAACATATGTCTCTGAACTGCTCCCACTTGTCTAATTCCCTCCTGTTCTTGACCTAGTGGGTCTCCACTGTGCCACTCTTCCTGTGGCTAGCTGAAAGGCACCCATTCTCAGGACTCATATAAACCCTGCCCCCTTACTGGAGCAGAGGGGGAGCAGGCAGCCTTACACTTTCGTTTATGGTAAACATGAGAAGGCCAGAAAGCCCGTCCAGGAAAGTGATGCACAAGCAGGGGCGGGCACCCCTGTGACTGCCATACAATAAAGTGATGGTTTAGACAGTGATCATCTTTTTCCTGGTATACAGACCCTGGGGCAGCACCAAGCTAAGAATTACTTGCAGTTATTGTGTGTATGGGTGCAAGCCATGGCACCTGTGGAGGTTAGAGGTTAACTAGAATTGATTCTCTCCTACAACCATGTAGGTCCAGGGTGGAACTTGTATCGGTCTTGGCAGTTCATGTCTTTACCTGCTGAGCCATCTCACCATCCTTTTGTGGAAGTCCTAAGACCCAGACTAAAGAAGCCAAAGGACTTTGTGACTGAATCAGAACTTTTACATCTGAGGAGTTTGGGGAAAGGCTCTGCCTGGGTCATCTGCTTTTAGACTTCCTAGATCCTGATAACTGAGCATTGGGAGTTGGATTTTCTTTTGGTCCCCAGCCCTGTTACTTTCTCTTCTATAACTGCCTCATCCCTTCTGAACTCTGAGCTTGAAAGCTTGGATAGTACCAGATGTTGGATAGAGGCCAAAGACAGCACAAAAGAAACTTCTTAGGGAGCCCATATACAGTTTCTGGGATTAATGCTATACATAATTGATGATGCTAATCATCACTGATGTAATGAGAAAGCCAAAGCCTAAGCAGCCTGACTGGTTTGCCCTTGGGCAGTGGAGTGCAGCCAGTCTCAGCACTTTAAGGATTGCCCTCTTGCCATTTCTTATTTCAGTGCCCACTCCAGCCACACACATAGACACTTCTGCTTTTTCTAAGACATCACTAGGCCCTACCTAGTCTCTCTCTCTCTTTTTTTTTTTTTTTTTTTTTTTTGGTTCTTTTGAGACAGTTTCTTTGTAGCTGGCCTTGAACTCAGAGATTCACCTGTCTTTGCTTCCCTAGTGCTGGGATTAAAAGTGTGAACCACCACTGTCCAGCTGGCCCTTACCTAGTCTTTTTGTTTGCTTGCTTGATTTCTTTTTTCCTTTTTCTTCCAAGACAGGGTTTCTCTGTGGCTTTGGAGGCTGTCTTGGAATCAGGCTGGCCTTGAACTCAAGATGCCTGCCTCTGCCTCTTCTACCTAGTCTTAAGCCATGGTATCTGCTAGGGAGCTTTGTAACTGAGCAGGAGTTGGAGCTAGTACAATCCTTGTCATAATCACATCTATTACCCAGAGTTCCATGTTTCCTGACATAGAAGTGTTTCAAGGTATAGTCTGGAGGGGCTGGAGAACTGGCTGGGTGATTAAGAACACAGGCTGCTCTTTCGAGGAACCTAGGTTCAGTTCCCAGAACCTACATGGCAGCTCACAAACATCTATAACTACTTCCAGAGGCTCTAATCGTAGGTCCCAGGCATGCACATGGTATATGCTTAAAAAAAAGTCAGTGACCCAATGGCCAGGGGTGGTGGCACATACAGGCAGAGTTAGGATCTCTGATTCTTGTCTACATACAGAAACACGTTCAAAAACATTAGATGATCCTGGCAGAGTCTGACCAGGTGTTCCCTTTCCCCAAACTTCTCAGTTGTAAAATCTCTGAGTCACCCTTCCACCAAAGGGGTTGTGAGACAGAAGGAAGGAGAGGGCTCAGGCAGAGCCATATTAGGTAAAACAAGTGCTCAAGCTTGGAGTAAAGGTTCCTCCTGAGAATCAGAATGGCTCTGACTGCCAACAAGTAGGGTGTCACCTCTCACCATGCAGACTGAACCTTAACCCTACCACACGCACATCCTATGGACCACTTAGATGAGGAGCATTTGTTAAACTTGCAATTCCTAGAGCAAACTACAGGTCTGTGTGATAAACTACCCCTGGTCATTCCTGAGGTAAATATTTGAAAACTACAGACTTGGGTAGAATTTGAAGCACCTGGTAAATATGTGTTATTAGGAAAGAGCCTTTGATGTGACTCAGAACCCTCTGGGGAGGAAAGACAGCAGGTCCCCTGAGGAATCACTGTTCTAAGATTTTCAAATTAGTGTGATGGGCATAATGGCACAAGCCTTTGATCCCAGCACTAGGGAGGCTGAGGCAGGTGGATCTCTGAGTTCAAGGCCAGCCTGGTCTACAAAGCAAGTTCCAGGAGTGTTACTTAGAGAAACAAACACTGTTGGGCTTTTTGTTTGTTTTATTTTTTTGAGACGGGGTTTCAGCCTGTCCTGGAACTTGCTCTGTGGACCAATCTGGCCTCAAACTCATAGAGATCTGCCTGTCTTCCGCCTCCAGAGCACTGGGATTAAAGGATTTCACTACCACAGCTAGAAACACTACCAACAAAAGCAAAAAATCTTTCAATTTATAGCCCAGGCAAATAAGAGCCAGAGGCTAGAAATATTATTTATTGAGAAATAACTATACCAGACAATGGAACAAGTAGAAATCCATCATCTAATTTATTGTTGAGACAGGGTCTCACTGTAGTTCTGGCTAGCCTCGAACTCACAGAAATCCCCTTAGTGCTGGCTTCCAAGTGATGGAATTCAAAAGCATACATCAACATGGCTTAACTCATATATTTTTGGTGCCACAGATCAAACCCAGGACTTTGGGCATGCTAAGCACTGACTGTACCACAGAGCTCTATGCCCAGTTCACCCCCTTATTGCCTAATTTCATCTTGTAGTGTCAAGCAAGTACTGTTATTAACCTAATAACGGAATTTTACCATTGAGGAAACAGGCACAGAAAGGCTAAGTACCTACTTAAGATTGGATGATTCAGATCCAAAAGTTCACATTCTTGCCTGTTGCCATCACTTAGCTGCCTCCTCGTTGTTGAGACACAGAGGATCTCACTATATTTATTGCCCAAGCCAGCCTGGAGCTTCTCAGATCAAGGGATCTTTTGCCTCAGCCTCCTGAGTAGCTGGGACTGCAAGTACATACACCGCTCCTGGCTTTGTTGGTTTCTCTGCTGCCCCATAGAAAGCAAGCAGAAACTACCACTCACTATAGGCTAAATGCCCAACTTGGGCCTCAGCTTTCCAATCTGTAAAATAAAACGACAAGGAGGGCATGGTTTGCACTAAATGCTTTCTAGGATACCAAACAATCGCAGTATTGTAAGTCAACCTTCTGACCATGTTCTTCTGATGGGTTCAATCTGCAAAAGATTTGTCTTCAGAATATCCCTACCATTTGTTTTCTGCCTCGATTACACCCGGGATTTCTAAAGCTCAGAGGAGAGACAGTACCCTAGCAGAGTCTCTCAACAGCCCTGGCCACAGAGTGCCTACCTTCAGCCTCAGTGGTACTCCTTTTTAGGGTACGTTGGAGAAACTCGAGTTGGATACAACACTGAGAGACCAACTGAATGGAGAATGCTGGCTAATATGTTCGGACAAGGGACCAGGTGAACTTGCTGTCCTGGAACTTGCTCTGTAGACCAGGCTGGCCCCCAACTCACAGAGACCCACCTGTCTCTACCTCTACCTGGGATTAAAGGCATGCACCAAGCACTCACTACCCGGAAAGGACCCTTTTAATAATCTTCCGTGACTCAGGAGAAAGTTGAAAGTTAGGGGACAGAGTCATAGGGAGGCTGTAGCTCTATCAGGAAATGGATTCTTTGCCCTCTGCCCCTGATGCTCACATGGGAGTTTCTGGAAGAAAGGTGTGATAAACTTCCCTCTCCGCTCCCTTTAGTCTTTTGCAGGCAAATGTGTTTCCTCCTTCCTTCTTGAAGGACTCCTGGTCTCTTCTGTCCTCCCCCCTCCCCCGGAGATAAGAATTCTTATCTCAGAACAACCCAACTTCTCGCCACCATTAGGTAGCAGATACCTCGACTGGAAAGACCGGACAGTCACTGAGAAGGATGGTCAGACACCCGGAGGACCTTGCTTGTTTCTGTGCTGGGGTGGATGCGCAGCAGCCTCGCAGGCCGCCTCTCTAAGCACACCTCCTGCCACCCCCGCAGACACATCGGATGTTGCGTCGCCGCCCCGCCTCTTCTTGCTCTGCATCTGCCCAAACCCAGGCTGTCACAACTCGGCGTGGTGGGGAGCGTGGGCGTGCTGCGGGGCGACCATGGCTGTAGACTGTTACCTCCGGTTCCCACAGTAACAATCGAAAGCCACGGTTGCCCTGGAGACGCGGGGGCGGGACTGTCAGGCTGACGTCAGCACCGCGGGCGGCGGGGGCGGGGGCGGGGGCGGCGGCGGCGCCCGCGCCCGCGCCAGCCACAGCCTGCACAGCCCAGCGCCGAGT